CATACGTGTACAACTGTCAATATGTTTAGTGTTTTTCTTCGAAATTCTAATACTATTTTATCTTTTGATTTCTTTTTTTTCATCTTCATGTGTCCTAATAAAATCACCACGTATCTCATTGAATTTTCTGGGACTATGGATACCTTAGAATGAATTCTATTTTATAGACATATTTTATTGAAAAATATTGCCAAGATCATATTAGATCTTAAAGTTGTATGGAAATAATGTAGACTTGTTTTAGTTGTATTTTAAAATGAGAGAATGCAATGTTTTTTAATATTTTTTTTTTTTATAAATAGATAAACAATGGCAATAGACTGTTAATACGGAGTGTTTCCATAATCCATGATATAAGTTTTCATGAATAACTCTTAAACAATTCAAGTAATTTATATGTATTATTTAATAATCAGCGTGAGCATGCTTTACGGAATTTTATCAGAAATAGGGATAGTTTTTGAACACATTATAGTGGCTCATAGACATATAACATTTCTATAACAATCAGATGTTGAAAGAATACTTCGTAGCTCATTGATTAATGACTGATTGAAGAACTTCTTTTTTTGTAGTAACTGGTCCTTGTTTGATGATGTATTCCACTATCATCTCTTAAATAAATTGTCGAGTTGTTCACTTCAAAAAAAGATTTCGTGTGTTCAAAGTATTCAATGTTGCTAAGAAAATCGTTCATGCTGTAACATTATATTATAGACTTTTAAGTTTCCTTCTGAATATTTTCAACGACATATTTGTACCTAGAAACATTAGAATAGAAATAGTTTTGTTATTGGACAAATTAATGTCACCTGTGATTGTGAAAGGAAAACTTCAGATCAAGTTTGACAAAAATATACGAAGTGTAGGTTGCGTTACAATTATGTTTTGATGTTTTTGTGAAACAGATGGAGTAGAAGATAAATAACGTTCTGGAAAATAAACGAAGTGATGGTGTTTACAAAAATGAATCACTATCGAGTGTTCGGACTCGTGTAACAGCTTGTTCCATTCCACTAACAACAGCATATTGAATTATGGCTAAATATTGTTCATTGAAACTGTACAAGTTGTACTTTGTCGAATAACTTAATGATCAAGATTTACAAGACCAAGTTGAAGTGATACTAATGTTAGAAAATAAGGACAACCATGAGAGCTCGTTTTTCTTTCAAACAGATTTTTTTTTTCATTTACATGATTTATTGATAGATATAAATTAAAAACCGATATGTATAAGGCATGTATAAAGGTTTCATTGAATTCAAAATAAGAACTGATAGTGGAAATAAATTAATTCGAAAACAAACTTTTTGCAGTCAATTTTTGAAAGATTTCGAAAAAAAAATAATATACTATTGTTTTATTAAAAAGAACAATTTAATCATTTGAATAGTAATTGACTTACACCTCTTGTTGTTAGCGAGTTTAAACAGTTTATCGTCTGAGATCAGTAACAATAAGCTAGTATGGATAATTTCGAAAACTGTTGATTTACTTCTTTATAGCATTATCGATCATTTTATCTCTGAGTGAGCATCATTCGAAGACGGAAATGTTGTTCAACATTGAATGAGTTCTTAAATAAGAAAGTTGCTATTAAAACGGATTCAGGATATCTTAAATAGACATGTTTATTGAAAATAAAATTATTTGGAAATATTTATCAAAAGACGTAAATAGTTTTTAATATAATGAATAGAGTGATCAGACGCGTCCTCGTAGGTGGCGGTGTGAGTGAGGATCTTTTGTACATCGTCATCCATCCACTTTCGATGCTCATTCAGAATACTTTAAGTCTAACATATCATATGACAAATTATTCTAGCATCAATGAGTAGTCTTATGTAACGATAAATTCCTCAGTATTATACATTCATCATAATCATTTTGGGAATTTTTCTTCTATTACTGTATGCACTTCATTAATTTGACAGAAATATTACAAAATGAAAAGAAAAGATCGTATTCTCTCGTTGATGTGAAACATAAATAATATTTTTATCAAATTAGATTGATTGTATTACAAATCTTATGTTAAGGTTGCGTGAGTCAAGACACTTTGCGAGTCGAGACAAGTTATAATTGCCCATTTTCTCATCCTTTATTTATGCTTATAATGAACGTTAACAACATGTTTTTCATAACATGATATATTTTCTCTAGTTTTTATGCATAAAAACAAAATGAGAACAGTTCTAAATAAAATAAAAAAGTAAAAAAGCTTCAATTTTTATAAATTTCTGAGGTTTCTAGAGAACGGCTAATCAGAAAAATGTGAAATTTTCAGGACAGATAGGTCTTGATGAATAGTGCAAAAATTGTCAGACATTCAAAGTTTCTGGATGCTGTTTTCTACGAGATATTTGGATCATAATGGTGAAAAATGGCTCGTCCATTTCTTCGAGATGTCATGCTCGATCGAATTGAAAGTTTTTTTTTACTATCTGCAAAAGACACATACTTATGAGTAGGACTTTTTTATAACAGCTACCAAAAACCAGTACAATAAGTTCGTTAGAGAACAGCATGAAACAATTGTACTGTTTCGCTAATTTAATTTCTTCTTGAATTTTTTAGCGTTTAAAGACAATTTGTTGTACTCAGTAGATAGATAATACTTGAAACTATACAATCACCACGAAAATTTCAAGTTACGACAGGAAACACGCTTAGGAAGAAATTGATATAAATTAAGATTACTAGTTACACTTTCTTCCTGCAGAAAAACCTCAATTTCTTCTGAAACTTATTTGAGTATTGAAAAATCAAATTTTGATTTTGTAACGGAATAAATCGAGACAACTTTGCTCAACTTTCGACTCCTAGTCATGGCTTCGAGCTAGTTCAGCTTTATCTTATGTCATATACTATTTATCTCTAGGCAGTATATTACACATTCTGATAGTTAATATTAAAATAAAACGTGATCGTTTGAATTTCAATTTTAATAAAATAATCAATGAATAGAATTTTTGACACTATTCACTATTTATCTAGTTTTTTTATAATTTGATATTTTACTTGAAATAAAATAAATATTGGACACAAATATTCATTTCCTTTCTCATACATTGCTCAAATAAACACAAAAAGCAAGAAGCAGGTCACTCATTGTCTATTATAAGACTGTACGCATGTGTAACTCTTAATAGAGCCATTGGTTGCTTTTTTCCTTTTGTTGTTGATATAATACATTGGGATAGAGCATAGAAAGAAGGAAAAAAGTTCACCGCACTAGTAGGAACATAAGAAAAAGAAGCCGAAACAAAGTATCGGCTAATTTTTTTGGTGAACTAAACCTGAACTGAAGTATGTAAATGTATATAGAAAAGAGAGAAAATAATGTGTGAAATGAAGCAGACGGTAAGTACTATTAATATGTTTAACCGGATACTCATATGCTCTCATATTATTATTATTATTATTATTAATATGATTATTATGTAAGAAATGATAGACCTTCTTTTTGTTAAATACTAAATGTATATTTATCTATTTATTCAATAAAAAGCAAAAAAAAAATAGAAAATGTTAATAAGTAATGATTATTAAGTAAGAAATGCCAATAGTGTTCAATTATCCATTGACAATTAGTCAAATAATTCTTTCACGATTATATTCCTTTTTTGAATGTTAAATAAAGAAAAAAAAAAAGCATGAAAAATGTCGAGAGAGAAAAAATTTCCGTTCACTCCCTCTCCTCATGTCATTTCCTTTCTTGACGACAGCTAGACATTGATTTTTATAAAAGACAATGCTAAAAATGATAATTCGTTTGAAATGTTTTCAACTATTGAAAGTAATTATGAAAATGACCTTTTCAATACATATGGAATAGATTATTTCATTATAAATTAATTGTCTATGTTAGTTTGATTGTTAGAAATATTAGACTTTGATTTAAAATAACATGTTTTGTTCGAAATACTAGACACTCCCATATCATCATTTGTTAACCAGTCATGTTTTGACATGATTTTGTATATTAAAATAAGATCATTATTATTAGAGTAAGAGTGAGTATATCACTCTTCTTATGTACAAATGATGCAGTGAAACATTAGACAAGTTCTAATCTTTGTCTGATGTTGATTTATGATTTATTGATATTGAATGATAAAAAAAAACGAATAATAAACATTCCTAAGGGCAATGGCCTTTTTCTCACTATTTCTGTCCTTGGTCGTTATCGTGCTAACCCATAATTAATTTCTGCAAATCGCATATTTGTTTGCTTGCTTGCTTGATTTTATGTATATATATATATATATATGTCTTTCTTTTCCTAATTATCTTTGTAGAAGTCGTTTTGCTATACTGATTGAATCAATCATAGATACTGTTTTATATTCGTTCATGTATTTCTATATAGATAAGCATTCTAATATTATAGATACTGTTTCATTCTTTGTTTGTAAGTCTATGAATACAAATCAGTTGATTACGTTTCATACCAATTATTGTCACATGTGTTCAACTGTTTTAGTTGATGAATGAAATGGATAGGAAAAAATAATCTTACGTCACAATTGATATGAATCTATAGATTGTTATTTATTATGCACTAGCACCGTCACTCCTGCCGTGAATATGATGATTCCCTATGGAGAACTATTGAATTTATTTGAAGCGCATGCAATCATAAAAAAGAAGAATAATTGAGCAATAGATGAAAAGGCTGATTTAGAAAGTTAGAAGAAATTTTCCTGTTTTCCTTTGCGTAATGCCTATAACGGTATTACTGATTACGTGTAGGCATGTGAGTGTCTATCAATCGTAGAATAATCTTTCTCTCGTTTGTTCTCTTCAGTGACGTTCAACCATCATCATCATCATCATCATCATCATCATTTTGCATTGCATAATTAGAAGCAAAGTGTTTCATTATCCTTTTTGTTATGACTAGTATCACGGCACTATGTTAAATATAAATGTAAACAAATAAATATTATCATATTTTTTTCTCTTACAGTTTTAGACGAAATAAATTTCGCATTATGTTCTATAAAACTCCATATCCATCTCTGGTTTCATTTCTTCTTTTAATGATTGGATGTGTTTTGTTTTTAATGTCAACTATCTATACATTATATAAAGTTCAACATAGTGAAAAATGGTGTTGTAATCAATGGTAAGTTAATAACAATCGAAAAAAAAAGAAAGAAAAAATATATGTATATTTATTGTATTTTGATTATTAAGTTTACAACTTACCCGACTTGTTGTTGGTTGTGGTGTTATAATAACATTTCTTTTTGGTTTATGTTCGGTTTTTTTAGCAAGTGTAATTACTGGAAAATCGAGTCAAAAACATTTTTGGGGTTATAAAAAAAATATATGTGCAAGAATATTAAATGGTTTTGTAAGTTTAAAAAAAGAATCTTATATGAATATTTAATTTTTATATTTAGTTTTTACTTATAACATTTTTTTTAACAATTTCATGGTTTTGTATTACTTGTCTTACATTTATTCCACTCTATGGTTTTCTTTATATATACTTTGTTGTATGTAATAATCGTTATGGTACAGCTGGAGGTAGTTTTGTAAACAGTAAGTAATTAAATGCTTAAATTTGTTTGTTTTTCCTTTATGTTAGTTTTATTTATATATGTTTAGTTCTTAATGAAATTAATCAACATGCACATCGATTAGATGAAAAACCAGCACAATTTAAGCTTTCTGATATTTGTCAACCAGTATGTATCATTAATATTTAATGGTATTTAATTGATGTGAGAAGAAATCGTGATCGTATTTATTGAATAAATAATGATTAAATATTTAAACATAGGATCATAGATATAAATGGTTAAGAGCAAATTGTTTTATAAATAGAAATGTGTAAAATTGAAATAAAATACTGCATTTAGATTCTATTATTGTTGTGTGATTTTTCTGCTGTATGAACATCAATCAAAACAGAATGAGACATTCATTAACTGACGCAATTCTTTGATTTCATGTAAGAAGATCAAGAGATAAGTTTTCTAAATGTCGAGAGCAGCTGCATTCTGCTCAGTTATTTTTCTCGACAGGATGACTAATACTAACTCTAGAGAGGTTACGACATAGTTCGAGTCGAAATGACCGCGAGCTTTATTTCTGAAGATTTTGACTAAAAGATTTGCTTTGGAATATCAAGCAACAGAGTGATCATATCTATAATGCTGAAAGTATGATTATCAATGAATCATTTCTTTTTTTCTCTTTTAGTCTTATCGTGATTACTTCAGTTTAAGTATTGTCACAACAGCTTCATCAATATTGATTATCTTAAGTTTGGTATGATACCAATAATAAATATTATAAATCGTATCTATTTTTTTGTGTAGATACTCTTAATGATCGCTCAAGGGGCCAATCATGCTCATATTCATAACGATAGAAATCGTTATGAATTAGCACAAAATAGTGATCAAGATATTGAAGATACCAAAATGTGACATAGAAACAAAAAGAAAAACTCTACTGTTTAGAACAGTCAATCAATGTTGTACTCTTTGTATGCGTATTTTTCTTTTTATCTAAAATCAAACAAAAATATTCAGTAAAGTCAGTTATATTTATGACAAAATAAACATCGTCATAACATGACTATATCATTTTTTCCTTAACTATAAATCAATATATGTGTGTGTGTGTGTGTGTGTATGTGTGCATGTGTTTTGTTTTTTTTAAGAAAAATTCACTTTGAAAAAGACAAAATAAAACCGTGTCATTATATAATTATTAACGATAATGAGAATGATGTTGATAATGAGAAGGATGTTGATACTGAGAATAATGCTGATACTGAGAATCATGTCGATGATGTGCTACTTGCGATACGTTTCTTCTTCGTGGTGATCGTCCTGCTCTACGTGAAGCTCTATGATATGTAGTAACACTATGAAGTGGAATGGTATGTTGCATTGATGATCCTCTTCTACCATGGGGAGAATTATGTGATTCAGGGTAATGAACAGACCATGCACCTGTACGTCCATCACGTTCAAGTATAGCAAAATTACTAAAATTAACTCTTGCAGCTCCATGCATAAGACTTTCATACTGTCCATGTCTACCAACTCCACCACGTAAACTACGTGTTATTGCTTCAATTGAGGCAGCATGTCCTGATAATAAAATTGTTCCACCTTGATACTTATGAGCAGCAACTATTGCATCAAGAAGTTGACGTGATCGTCGATAAAATTGTTGCTCATTTTCATTTGTATCAACACTACCATAGATTGGTGAATAACCTGTATTTATATAAAATCGTCTATCCATAGCTAAATATTCAGGAGGTATAAATACCAATGGTGCGCCACTATACCAAGATGAATATTCAAATAGACCTTACAAAAAAAGACAAAAATAAAAAGTTTATACAGAGATTATTTATTTTTATACCAGGTTCGATATTAATTGGTACAGCTCGTCGTCGTCCTTGGCTTTCAAGGATTCTATTTGCTGTTTGTATTGATCGATATGCAGGTGAAGAGTAGCAATAATCAATTGGATAACCAAGTTCCAGTAATTTTCGACCAACGGATACACTTTGTTTTTCTCCAGCAACAGTTAGTGGTGGATCGTATTCCCATTCATGAAAATTTGGTCGACGTGGTAAACGTGATATTCGTGAATCATGACCACCTTGTCTTCGTGCTCTTCTTAACCAATTTTTTCCTAATGCCAAATCAGCACGTTCACCATGACGTGTGATTATAATTCGAAGATTATCAGCTGCTTCTTCACCACCAAAAAGACGTCGAAACATATTATCCTAACTAGATTGTGTGAAAGTAAACGAAAAAGCAACAGGCAATAGACTATTATTGTTTTTAAATATATGATATATCTAAGGTTTCGACTGTTTATGATATACTTGTGATACCTTTTATATCTATGAATCGTCAGTGTAATATATTTGAATATGACATTGGACACCAAAAAAAAACCACGAATCAAGTCTATGATAATTATCATTTATTCGTCGTTAGAATCCATGCATAGTTTTTCTTTCGTTTCTATATTTATTTTTTATTCATATTTAACTCGTGACATTGGCGTACGTGAAATCAAATTACTAAACACATGGATAAAAATCGATACAACCATTCATAATGCGAGATAGAAAAATACAACATGTGCGTTTTTTCTGTTTATTTTTATCATGTATTCTTTTGAGTCTTTGATGTTTTAGATTGTCAAGGTAGCTGCAGCCTTGCAATCACATTTTCATATTGAGATATAAGGTAGTTGTCATTTTGTTTGGAATGTTTTACAATTCATGAATCTGTGCATGATGGTATCTGATAATGTTTACGTAGCGTGACATAGATCCAATGAATGCAATTATTAAGTCGAAGGATGAGCATAACATATTTTTATGCATCCAACAAACATGATTCATATATGAATTGCATCAAAATACATACGAATATCAATATTAGACAGCATGTGAATCTTAAAAAATCTCTTATTGTTCAGTGCTAGGATATCGCCGCTGTTATACTATTGCATAATAATAATTTTGTAAAATCTTTTTTGTTTCTAAAACAGTAATCAAATCTGCTACGCAAGTGAAGAGACTTGAAGTTTTAATATTTGTCTTTCTGATAGAAAAATAACCTACAGAATCCATTTTTATTGACTTTTAAGACTTACTTCTAATATTCTCTAATTTAAAAATATTTTCTATGGAAATATATTGAATTTATAAAAATTCAGTTAGGTCACTTTTTCTCTATCAGTCTCGAATATTTTTTTGTGAAATAATCTTCGATCTCATTGAATTTTTACGATATAATAATCAAAGTAACATGAAGTAGGACATTATTGGTGCAAAAAAAACGATCAAAGTTGTATTCATTACATTTACCACACTTTTATAATTATCGATCAGGTCATCCAGTTTCTCGAGACATATTACTCCATAAAAAATAAATATACAACTAATATCAATGATGATTTGTTGTTTACATGTGTTCATATTCATTTTTAAATAAAATATATTTTCTATTTGGTTTTTTGATCTGTATAAATGATTGTAAAATAACTAAAAATATAAATTACTTGTGATGATTTTTCTTTTCTTATCTATTACCTAAAAATAATTTGCTATGGCTAAATCAATAACTGAAAGCAAAAAAAAATCGTATATCATAATGAAAATTTCATCATCGTTCGTACCGATTTCTTATTAACATGACCTTGTTATGCTTATTTTCTATTTTATCATAACATTTACTTTTCTTTATGTTCCTAAGAAATAAAAATAAAAATAAAAAAAAAAAAAAGATGGATTTGTTTTTTTTTTGTTTGTTTTCATATTAATCCCTGGTTTACAATAATCCAATGTTTGAATAATAGAATAACAACAAAATTGATGCATTTTATTCGTTTGATAGTAAAACGTTCAATGGCATCACATGTATATCGGATAATCAAAGTGATAAATAAACATAAAACTAAAATAAATGAATAAGAGAGAAGGGAAGAAAACGGACATGGATCAAGTTATAAAAAAGAGGATACGAATCGCACACAAACATATCAATAGAAAAAAAAAAACAAATCAATGATGAAATATAAATAATTTCTATTGACAATAGTCTGATGGTCCTTATTGTTTATTGAAATTTCTATGCAATTCTGGTTTGACTAGATGAGCGGTTGGTTGTATTGGTTGTTGATGATTAAGTAATATTGATGGTGGTTCATTATATGTTTGAGCATATTGTGGTTTTGGTAAATATGTATGAACAGTTTTGGATAATACAACTGGTGTTGACCATGATGATCGACTAGTGAGAATTGGTTGTTCTTGTGCCATCACATAATTATTTGTTGGCATTGATGATTTTTGTTTCGAATGTTGAGAAAACGCTTGAAATGCATTAACAGTTGGTTGTCGTGGAACTGGAACAACTTTATTTACTGATGTTGAACTAAATATATCGAAAAAAAATTTTATATAACAAAAGAATTTATATATATATATATATATATTCTTTTTTTCTCTACCTCTGTTCATTAACTACGATTTGTGGTTGTTTGGTTTGTTCTAATCGTTGTTGATAAGTTTGTTGTTTAACAAGATGTTGATCAGTTAAATTAGGTATTGGACGAATATATGCTGATTGTTGTTCATTATTACCATAGATAATTTCATATGATTGTGATTGACTGTTACCTTGTGTTGTTGGTAATAGTTCAATTCGATCACAAACGTTTTCTTCTTGATTCCAATATAAACCAGCTGCACATGGTTGAACCCAGAGTATATCACCATTACATTGAATAAAAGCTTGAGGACTGAATTTAAATGGATAATATTGTTCTTGTTCACTTGTTGCACCTAAACATGGATTTGGTACAGTATCTAGAGGAAGAAAAAAAAATAAACGAATTTGTTTTTATAAAAAAAAAACTAAATTAAATCCGCATACTTCGTCCACAGCTTAAACCATATGATTGACCTTCGTCACATACACAAACATAATCTTGCTTGTATTCACCTGTTTTTAATGTTAGACATTCATTACCTGGACCACATGGATTCATAGCACAAGTTGATAATGGTATTTCACATCGTTCACCTGTCCAAGCACCACGACAAGTACATTTATATGTTGTTGGACTTGTTTGATAACATTGACCATTGTTCATACATGGTTGTTCACGTTCACAAATTGCTTCAAGATTTTTTCTTTTTTCACATTGATCAATTGTTGGATTGTAAATAAGACCACTTGGACAATCCATGATTTCATAATGAAATCTAGTTAAACATGCTATAAACTTTCTAGCATCTGTTGGATGTGCAATATTACTTCTTGGTGATTTATTAAAGCATGGTGATACTAAATAAAAATAAATAATTATACAAGAAAACACAAAGAAAAATAAATATCATACATTTAAGTGATGGTTGACGAGTTAATTCATTTGGAACTAAACGTGGCTGTTGTAATGAATTAAACGATGCAGATTGAAGCGGGTTATAACTAGTTTGATATTGTTGTAGTTCAGCTGCAGGAATTGTTGATACTTGTGAAACAGTTGTACCATAAGAGCCATATTGACGCTTTTTACGATAGATAGTATTTGGATAATCATATTCTTCATCATCATAATCATCATCTCTAACTTTATTTCCACGATTTTTGAAATCACCATTTCTACATACCAAAAAAAAAAAAACATATTGGCATACATTTAGAAATAAGGTAACTTACGAAGATGATTTTCCTGGATTGCCTTTATCTGATGTTTTGCTACCATTTTTATTGACTTTGTCGTCACTTTTACCATCACCTTTACTATTAATATAAACCAAGGAAAAAATTATTATTATCAAAAATAATAATAAACAAATAATGCAATAATACTTACGAGGCACCATCTTCACGATTTTCGTTGGAATCATCATCAGCTGGGTATACAAGAAGTCTTTAAAAAAAAATAGAAAATGAATGAAGAAATTATATTAAGTTAAAGAATGTTTTTTTTTTCGACTTTTTTCCTTACAAATACAATGAGGTAGATGCATTTGAAAGAAGAGAAAACATTAGAAGAAGAATCTTACTCGAAATCTGAGCCAAGAGGTTCACTGGTAGGTAGATTGGAACCGAATGATCCACCAATGGGTCTAAAAGGTGGGAAAGATTGACCACCAAAAGGCATGAAAGGTGGGAAAGATTGACCACCAAAAGGCATGAAAGGTGGAAGTTGTGGACCACCAAGAAATCTAAAACTTGAGAGAGGCTGACCACCAAAAAGTCCATAACGTGCCATAGGATGACCACCGAAAAGTCCAAAAGGCATAGGATTCTGGTTAGCTGGAGGTGAAGGAGGAGGAGGCCGACGACCAAACGGTCCACCATGTGGAGGGCCATATGGATAAAGTGGACCAGGAACTAAAGAAAGCGAAATAAATGAAAAATGAAATTAAATACATGAAAGAAAACTTACTCAATGTGGCTTGAAAGGAAACGGGTGTGGGTGCACCAAAAGAAGCAGCAGATGCGACGCTTTGCTGTGGGAACATTGGAGATCTAAAAATAAGTTGTGTTAAAATTTACCTATTTAATTTACAACAACGATCAAACATACGAATAAGCTGCTGATGGAACGGTTGGAAAAAATGATGAAGTAGTGGCTACTGATGGAGCTGCAGGAACTACTGCTGGATTAACTTTATCTGGAGCATTTTGCATATCGACAAAGAATTGACCAGATGATGACATACTACGAGGTTGAGCAGCTGGTGCAAATTCTGATGGTACCGAAGCAACTGGTACAGGGGCTGGTGTTACTGGAGTAACTGGTACAGGTGCTGGTGCTGCTTGAACATATGTTATCATTGCTTGTTCTGTTGGAGCATATAATGGAGTGCCTACTGGTTGACTAGAAAATTGACAAATGTTTTATTCTAATAGTGATAAACTCGATATAACTTACGGTGCTTGTGAACCTGCAAATGTAGATGGAATACCTGCAAATGCGACTTGTCCGGGAAAACTAACTGGACCTGGTAAATTAAAAGGTGTCACAGGTATATCTAAAATAAAAGCAATGAACAATTGTTCATAAATGACTTAAGATAATAGTACTTACGAGGTGGACCTGGTTGATATGGAAAAGGTGTTGCATAATAACCTGGATATTGATAAGCAGCAGATGGTAACGTTAAACCTTGATAATGTGCTCCAAAGCTACGTTTCTTGCGTTCTATTGTTGAACGTTTCTTTCGTCCATATGGATAAGTTGATGACATTGCATAGTTCTTGTTCATAGTTTCATAAGAAGATGAACCACTCTTACTTCCACTGTTACCATACGATGTTGTACTATAATCATCATTACTAATCGGAGAAGCAACTATTGGCCAATCACAGATATTAACACGTGGATTCCATACAAGATAAGTTGGACATGGTTTGACAAATAAACGTCCGAATGCACATTGAATATAACAATGTGGATAACCAGGTAATGGATAATATTGTGAACCAAATAGTGTACATGGATTTACTGTTGGTGCTTAAAAAAAACAATAAGAAAAATTGAGAATGATTTTCATTTTGTTATTTAACTGATCTTACTTGGTCCACATTTGGAAAGATCGAGTTTTTCTGGTTGATAAATTAAAATTTCACCTGTTGATTGGATACCATATGGTGCACCAGTAGGTTCAGCGTAAGGTCTGTTATATCTATTACTATCATCATTCGATATACCACCATTGCTAACATCACCATAAGATACATCTCGTTGTGGAAATTGAACGTTAGAAGCATATGATTTAACATCAGCAGCAGCAACTGGTTGTTGATTAACAGTAGTTTGAGCAGATTGTTGAGTATAACTTGATTGTTCGGATATGGATGGATCACTTAATTGTTGACTGTATTGTCCCAAACTATTAGCAGATGGTACACTAGCCGTACGAGCTGAGCTGGGCAAGCGACCATTTGATTGTTGACCAAAATTTCCAAATGCATTAGCTCCGGGAAAAAGACCATAACTGCCTAAATCTGTTTGTCCCGTACCGTATTGTTGTCCAGCAAATCGATGACCTAAGAAGGCAGCTAAACAAAAAACAAGCCGATAAAAAACGAATTTACATTTGAATATAATGATTAATAACTTTCTTACCGGGGTTATATTGACCAGTGGCACCACTTGCCAATAGAAGACACAATAATAGTGTCAAATGAACCTATCATATGAAATAATATATTATATATTTTATATGAAACAAAAAATAATAGTTTTCATACCTGTTTCATCTTGAAATTTAATGGAAGTTCGACGGTAATGTCGATAATACGCATAAAAATGGCGATAGAAAACTGTGCCTCGTCTTGTTATTCTTTTCGATCTATGTAATGCGCGTTTGCGTCCGATATTGATTGTGTTTGTGTGCAAAGTGAAGTCGACCAACAACAATAACACGGCTTTTCTATTTTCGATCGATAACAATGATATCACTTGCTCTCTCTCGCTAGATTTTTCTCGATTGCATCAAATTGACCTAGACTGCCTTTCTTTATCATGTTCATAGATGATTATATATATATAGATAGATAGATAGATAAAGAAAGACAAAGAACTATGTAATACCTCGATTAAAGAAACAGAAATTCTAGCTATTAAATGGATAAATATAGATAGTGTATAAACAAAAAAAAGCAAAATGTTTGCTGATATATTTGACTGTAATTCTTTTGTTAACTTGTACATATCGAGGTAAACGTGCGTTACTTTAACAAATGACGAACAAAGAAAATGAACTAACTATAAAGTGCATATCTTTACATTCATGTAACAGAGTATAATATATTAATAAAAAAAAAAAAATAGTTATTAAATTTAATTGTTTACTCACATCTCTGTATCCGTCCGTTTGAGTATTTAGTGTAAAACGACTAAATTAATAACTTCTAACATTATTTCGGTATTAAAGCATCAAATTCTATTTCTAGTAGAGAATCAAATACAAACAGTAGTAATAGATGAATACTTCTTTAATTAGATGACTTTTTCGAACAAAAAAGAACGATTGACTTTTATAGTCCATGTATCTGAAATGCAGATTGAAACTTTGATTTTGTTTTATGCAATAAAAAATATTTATAATGTATTATAGCTATGATCGTGTAGAAGCCAAGACCCGCTACAATTGACTCTATTTTAAAAGGTGACAGTTATAACAAATTGAAGTGATGGATTCATTTTATGAATCCCTAAAATTTGTCTTATCGTGATTTTTTATATCACTATTATGTATTTCTTATATTGTTGTCGTTTGAATATTTTATTTATAAATAGTAGATGTTATTTGTCAATAGTAATTTGATTAAATGTTGTTATTCAGGATGGATAAAAACAAAAGCATACTTACTGATAGACACTGGGGTAATTTATTAACAATGATCCATCATGAAAATAAACTTCTACACCATATTAAGAATTACCCACACAAACATCGAAAACAGTGTATCTGGACTTGTTTATTAAAATACTTGATAAATAATAAAAATATTACTTTTCTATAGAAATCCGTTGTCATCTATATGAAACATAAGTTTGAAAAAGCTGATGTCACACTTTTTGGAACACATATTGTCTTTCACCTTTTGCATAAATTCAGTTCGATGATCTGTTCGTAATATTATATCATGATGTACTCTATAGCAGACATGATATCAGTGCAAGTTGTTCGAAATTTAAACCAAACGATCGCATTCCTAGTCTGTAGTGTCCTCTAGGAAACATCTAAGTATGGTCGTAAAATAAAATTTGCTGCAGAAAAGTGATGGCATACACGTTATTCTTTAACTTGTATTTGAGACCAAGGAATAATAATTCTATCGTCTCGATAGATAACTGCATCGAAAATTTTATTCCTTCAATATCTTAATAATAGTACACACAATGACCACTCAAGATTCTTTGCTTAGAAACAAAGATTTCCTTTATACGAATCAAACTTGAAATCAAATAGAAAATTTTTATAGTTTGAATAATTGTTTTTTATACAAATGTCGATAGCTATAACACACAAGAAAATATGTTGAATATATCAGAAACATTTTTTTTTGTCGTTTACTGTATTCGTATGATCTTCGATATAATTTTTTATTTGTCTGTTCGACCTTTATATATAATTACATATATATTTGATCTACGTTTATTTACAAGCAAAGTTGTTTTTCGCTTTACTTAAAGAAAGACATAAATAACAAGATAGAATAAGTTGCCTTCTGTCAAATACATATACAGAAATATGTATAAATAGGAGATATACTGCTTAATACTGTATATAATTTTTTTTTAACCGGTTGGCATGGAAATTTTATTATCATTATCGTTTGTATTTTTATTTTCATCTGATGTTGATAAGCTTTCATGAAGACCATCAGTAGATGTTGTTGAACGTGAACGAATATATTCAGGACATTTATTTATTTTAACAGCTTCTTCATCAACTCGAACACCCACAATATCAGATTCGGGAACATCAAACATCGGTTCGAGTAAAATGCGTTCCTAAAGATAAAGAAAGATAATAAATTAAATCGAAAAAATTTATTGATTTAAATTATGTACCAGTATTGATCGAAGACCACGAGCACCAGTTTTTCGGTGTAAAGCTTTTTTAGCTATTGAGCGGAGAGCACCATCGGTAAAATCTAATTGTACCTAAAAATATTTTATAAATAAAAATAAAGCGATACATTCAAGAAGCTTCACGATCTTCATGAACATATTCCACCCACAAGACCTTCTATTACTAATATCCGCTCCGAAATTAAAGTTGGGTGAATGTCATTTTAATAGCTCGACAACAGCTACAGCCAGCGATCTACTATTGTCAGTAATCTAATGGGAAGATCTCTGAACGTCGTATTTTTATCTGTCACTATATCAGTCAAAAATTATTTTAAAATCTCTATTAGCTATGCAAAAGATTCAACGATATTCTGTTTGCAAGAAATTATGATAAAAAAATCAGAGTATCTGCTATGGATCAACAGAATTTCATATAATTTGACTGAATAGATACGCCGTCTTGTTTGTTCAACATGAAAATGTGAGAATATAAACATTTAAATGATGCCTTAAATTATAGATATAAAGCTCATCTCAAAATCAAAACTAAATGAAAACTGAACATCATTGAATTTTTTACAAAGATAATGGGTATCAAAATAATATTGTCTAACATAGTATCAGGCAAAGAACAAACGATGCCGAGAGTTTTCCTTTTTCGATTGCTGAAAACAGCAGATCGCTACCTATTATTGCTATCGAGTTATTGAGGTTAAAGTCATTTCTCATTATTATTAATACGCACATTAATTTCGAGAACAATCTCTTAATTACAATTTTGATGAAGCTTTTATTAATGAGAAAAAAACTTTCGCTTGAAACAGCACAAGACTGTGATACGTGACACAATATAAGTCCTTTAGATAAGAAAATACTTTGTTTCTTTTGTTTTGGGTGTGGGTGATTTTAATTAATGCAAACGAAACCATTTCAATAATCATCAATGAGAATATAAAAGTGACAGATAAAAACAAAACCTGGAGAGATTTTTCATAATCAATAGGTACAAGTACATAAACTGCATTGTCAATAGAACACAATAAAATGATTGGTACTGATATTACCTATTCTCTGAATATTACTATGATATAGGCTATTAAATAAAAACCATGGCGATAAAAGACAAAATCTAACAATCTAAAAGATAAAGTGCGATTCTATCAATTATCAGTATAACAAGATTTCTCCATTGAAAATTAAAAGAATCATTGCATTTCGATTGCCACGACTAAGTGGCCACGTTGTTTAATATCAATAAGTATCACTAATCATAGAATAATGTGGATAAATTACTAACGGTTGTTTGTAGGTCAAGACCTCTGCACCAGGCCAGTATTCTAGCATGAGCTACAACTAGTATTATTTGTAAGGAAAATATCAGACTACTGAATATACTACGAGGCAGTATCTCATACCACAAGATAATCACAATGCAAGGGTACTCTTTCTTTCTTTCATTGAATCTTATGTTGGGGCAAAGCTATTAAATTCATTTTACCTTATCCATTTTAAACAAAGCTTGATATTGTGGTATATAAGCATTGCGAGGTTCAGTTAATATTCGTACAAGCATATCTTCATTTAAACTATGAAATGGGACTATTATTGGTAATCTACGTAAATAAGTAAATAATAATTAATAAATATTCACTCATTCATTCATTCTTTTTGTTACCTGCCGATAAATTCAGGAATCATTCCAAATTCAATTAAATCTCGAGATTCACATTCTTGTAAATATTTATCACGTTCTAAATTTTCTTCTTCAATTCTAGCATCATTATCATCATTTTGTTCAAATAAATCTAATTGTGTTGCACGACGACGTGATGGTGCTTCATTTGATGTTGTACCAAAACCAAGATATTTTTCTTTTTTTCGTCGACTTATGATTTTATCTAGACCTGTATATGCACCTGATGCAACAAATAATATATTTGTTGTATCAATTTGTACTGTTTCACTGCGCATTTTTTTTGAATTTTTTTCCGGTACATTAACTATAGTACCTTCAAGCATTTTTAATAAAGCCTTAAAAAATAAATGTTAATTTTCATATTATAATAAAAAAATGATTGATATACTTGTTGTACACCTTCACCACCGACATCACGAAGTTGATGAATACCTGGTACACTACCAATTTTATCGACTTCATCCAAAAATACAATACCTAGAAATAAAAATCGATTAAACATTATTGAACATTTTCATTTAAGATTTTCTCTTTTAGACATTAAACTCAAAAATCTGATGATATAAAAATGTCGAACTAGTAGAAGATAATATTTCAACGAAAAATTATTATTACCGATGAGATCCAAAGTTCTGATGATAAGAAGTAAATCAAAATTATATTTAGCTGAAGAAGATAATAGATTCAGAGTTGCCAACAGATTATTTTTTTTACGCTGACTTTTAGGCATATGCTAAATCAAAATAGTTCAATTGATTCAATCACTTAATTCATGTTCTTTTCGTCTGAAAATACATTAAATCGCATTTATAACCAGTTGTTTCCTTTTCCCTCTTTCATTTATTATTCTGCTTTTGATAATACACTCCGAAGTTATTTCAATGGTTTACTTTTAAAATTCTTCCAAATTCAACGCAGTCTATAACGATATTGAATATTCGAAATAGAATAAAATATTATTTTTACGTATAATGTGAT